TGGCTCCCGTGGGTGCGTGCTCCCCAGTGAGTTAATGTTGCCACAGAACTCGGGCTTTTTCTCTCCTCCAGCTCCAGCTGCAGAGGGGGTGTTAGCTCACAGGGTGGCCCGAGGTGTCCCCTTGTCAGGGTGCCATCCCTTTCCGCCTGTCTCCTAGCAACCCCATGAGAACTTGAGATGCTGCCAGGCCCAGTTCCCTCCCTTCTCACGCGAGGAATTCATGGGTTTCAGCAGAGCAGGGATGGATCTCGGGCCACAGCCAGCCCTGGAAGCCACGTAAGTGTGCATGGCCACGCCGGGCTGGCTTCCTGGTGCCCGCCAAGGAGCCCCAAGTCTCCCGTGCCTCTGGGCAGATGGGGTGCAGATCTGGTATGCAGAGGAGGGGAACAGGAGGTGCAGGCCAGGCTCCCGGTGGGCGATGGCTGCCGAGAGAGGTTTCAGCCTCAGCCTGGCAGTGTCCCTTTCACCACAGACAGCTTGAGGGAGCACTGTGCTGGGGACTACAAAGCGCACTTGGCCCCAGTCCACCAAGCCAAGCGACTGCTTCTCCTAAGAAGTCTTTGACAAACTTGCCAGACTTACCCCTGCCCCTACCCAGTTTGTTTTCTGGGTACTTGAGTCTGATCCCTGATGTTTGTAAGGCCGTCCATCACATAGGCTGAAGGTAAATGATCTCATTCATTTTAGGGACTTCTCATCTTGAACCATCACCAGCAGAATCCTGACCAGAGACCTCCTTGAACCTGCTGCAGAACGAGGACAGGCACACGGCCCACACAGCTGAGGAAGTCGGGCAAGATGGACTGTGACAGGTGAGCCACACGTGTGACTCTGCATGTAATAGCCACGTTTTTATCTAGGTAGTCTTTATGTGGAAGGCAGAGAAGAAGACAGAGAGAGAGAGAGAGAGAGAGAGAGAGAGAGATCCCATCTGTACGTTCACACCCACAGAGGCCTGCACAGCCAGGGCTGGGCCAGGCCAAAGCCAGGAGCCTGGAACTCAGTCCAGGAGTCCCGTGCAGGTGGCTGCATTAGCAGGAAGCTGGACTCCAGCCCAGAACCCTAGCACTCCCGTGTGAGAAGTGTCTTAATCGCTGTGCCAAGCGCTCACCCCTATAGGCAGCCTTTGGACAAGTCAAGGCTAATCTAGGCCTGTGGTTTTCCTGGGAAAAAAAAGTCACATACTCCCATTCTGAAGAAGGATGTCAATCAAGAACGCTCTGTTAAAATTATCTGTGCTACCGGAGGCCCCATAAGTTGCTTATGTACATTGTTATCTTTTGTGCTTCTTTGTTCTGCAGCTGGTTATGTGTAAATACTGCTGGGACTTTAGAATAAATGAGCCTTGATCAGCCTTGTTGTCTTGGCTCCATTCTCTGCACCTTTGTCCCTCTTTTCATTCCCACTCCCTCCTTCAGGTTCCGTTCCACTGGTGCGGCTGGCCCGCACACCCCTAGCTCTGTCTTAAAGTAAAAAGAGGGGTTGGCATTGTGGTGGTACAGGCAAGGCTGCTGCCTGCACAGCTGGCATCCCATTTGGGGCTGGTTTGAGTCCTGGCTGCTCCACTTCCAGTCCAGCTCCCTGCTAATGCACCTGGGAAATTAGAGGGAGATGGCCCAAGTGCTTAGGCCCCTGCCACCGACGTGCGAGACCAGGAACAAGCTTCTGGCTCCTGGCTTCAGTCTAGCCCAGCTGTGGCTATTACAGCCATTTGGGGAGTGAACCAGTAGATGGAAAATCTCTCTCTCTAACTGCCTTTCAAACAAACAAAAAAAGCAAAAAGAAACAGGTGCCATTGATTCTCCTTTCAGCTACTTTTTTTGTTGTGATAAAATACATACAACATCAAGTTTACCATTTTAACCATTTTAAAGGGAATGACCCAGTCAAGTCACATTTAGCCCATTCATGATCTGGTGCAACCACCACCTGTCTGGTTCCAGGACATCCCATCACACCCAAAGGGAGCCCGAGACCTACTGAGCATCACCCCAGCCCCTGACAGCCACTGCTCTGCCTTCTGCCCCTGTGGATTTTTTCATTCTAGACAATCCACATGAAGGGAGCTGTAGAACACCTGGCCCCTGGGCCTGGCTCTGGTCTCGGCCTGTCCTGCCCCCACGGCCGGTCTGTGCTGTGGCACGCGTCAGGTGTCAGTGCTGTCTGTGGCCAGCGATGTTCCATGGCCTGGATGTGCCTGTCCTGTGGATCTGACCACCACCGGGGGGCACTTGCCTCTTTCCTTTCTCACCTTGTAGCCATTATGGATAGCACTGCTGTGAACATCCAGTATTTGCTTGAACACCAGTCTTCAATTCTTTTGCGTAGACGCCTAGGAATGTAATTGCTGAGTGATAAAGTAATTCTGTTTTAACTGCCAAACTGTTTTCCACCACGGCCACACCCTACCGTTAGTGTTAATAGCATATGGTCCAGCCACACTCTCAGTGTCCACGGGGGATGGTTCTGGGACCCCTCACGGATACCAAAATCCTTGAATGCTCAAGTCCCTAACATAAGATGGCACAGTATTTGCCCAGACCTACAAACATCCTACTCTATACTTTATTTTTAAATGTACTTACTTAGGGGCCAGCATTGTGCATAGTGGGTTAAGCCACTACCTGCAATGACAGTATCCTTTGGGCACCAGTTTGAGTGCCGGCTGCTCCGCTTCTGATCCAGCTCCCAGTTAATGCACCTGGAAAAGCAGCAAAAGATGGCCCAAGTGCCTGGGCCCCTGACACCCGTGTGGGAGACCCAGATGGAGTTCCTGGTTCCTGGCTGCGGCCTGGCCCAGCCCTGGCCATTGCAGCCATTTCGGGAGTGAACCAGCAGATGGAAGATCTGTTCTTCCTCTTTCTCTGTCACTCTGCCTTTCAAATAAATAAAGTAAATGTTTTTAAAAAATCAAATAAATTCATTTTTGTTTTATCATGAGCAAGCCAGACAGGGCAAATAAGATTACAGATCAGGTCTTTTGATGGGTTTTGTTCCTGCTTTGTTATTGATTGTCAAGTTGATAGTCAGGATTTTTTTTTCTTTCTTCCCCAAAATTGTGCTTAAAAACCCGAGAATCACCTGCCCCTTCCGGTTTTGCCTCTGTTGGAGCTCCCCTCCTGGCCACTGCACCAGGAGGTCTCTGACTTAAATAAATCTTGCTTGGCCGGTGCCGCGGCTCACTAGGCTAATCCTCCGCCTTGCGGCACCAGCACGCCAGGTTCTAGTCCCGGTCAGGGCACCGAATTCTGTCCCGGTTGCCCCTCTTCCAGGCCAGCTCTCTCCTGTGCCTGGGAGTGCAGTGGAGGATGGCCCAAGTGCTTGGCCCTGCACCCCATGGGAGACCAGGAGAAGTAGCTGGCTCCTGCCATGATATCAGCGCGGTGCGCCGGCCGCAGCACGCCAGCCGTGGCGGCCATTGGAGGGTGAACCAACGGCAAAGGAAGACCTTTTTCTCTCTCTCTCTCTCTCACTGTCCACTCTGCCTGTCCAAAAAAATAAATAAATAAATAAATAAATAAATCTTGCTTTTAGATAAAATAAACAAATAGAATGAATTGATGCCTAATAATTGTACACACTTACGGGGCTCCGTGTGATCATTTAATGCGCGTGTAGGAATGCATGTAATGTAATGTGTAGGAAGGATGATGACTGGATCGAGGCACTCACGTCTCCAGCTCCTTAGACATTTCTTCTTTGTGCTGAGAACCTTCAAATTCCTGATGTAGGATCGTTACAAATGTGTGATAAACCAGGTGCCGTGCTACAGAACGCTGGAACCTGCCTCGCATCCCACTGCAGCTTGATGTCTGTTAGCCGACCTCTCCATCCCCACAGCTCCTTCGCCTTCCTAATCTCTGGAGACCGACTGTACTCTCTACTTCTACCACATTCAGCTTTTTAGCTTCCACTGGGAGTGAGAACGTGTGGTGTTTGTCTTTCTGAGCCTGGCACGCTCGCTCCCTCACTCTCTCTCTCTCACTCTCTCTCACTCTCGCTCTCCTTCTCTTTCTTAAGATTTATTTATTTATTTGAAAGGCAGAGGGACAGAGAGAGAGAGGGAGGGTGGGAGAGAGCTCTTCCATCCATTGGTTCATTCCCCAAATGGGCCAGGCTGCAGCCAGGAGCCGGGAACTCTGTCTGAGTCTCCCATGTAAAGGGCAGGGGCCCCAGCACTTGGGCCGTCTGCTGCTGCTCTCCCGGGCACATTAGCAGGGAGCTGGATCGGAAGCAGAGCAGCCAAGGCTTGAACTGGTGCTGCCGCATAGGCTCTAGTATCACGGGCAGCTGCTTGAGACCCTGCGCCACAGCGCGGTCTCTGGTTTATTCCACTTAGTTCCCCCGCCCCCCACCATTCCCGGTTCCATCCACGTCGCTGCAGACGACAGATTTCGTTCTTTTTGCAGTCGAATAGTGCTCCATTGTGTTCCTAGGCCACGTCTCCTTTGCCCGTTCACCCGCCGATGGACACACAGGTCGAGGCTGTGTTTTTGCCATTGTGAGCGGTGCTGCAATAAACAGGGCAGCGCAGTGAAGGCTTTGATGTGCTGGTTTCTTTCCCTGGGCTACATGCACAGTGGTGGACCAGCTACCAAACTGTTCTCACTCTTCCCGTCCTGCTGTGAATCGTCCGTCATTTGTGGGTTTTGTTTCTGTTTGTCCTGGGAAGCGCTGAGGTTTCCATAATTCCTGGGATCCAGAAAGAAGAGAAGGCGGCCGTGGAGAAACGCAGCCAACAGGTGCTGGCGGCTCTGAAAAAGCTGAACATCGAGGCCGATGAGGTAGGGAGGAGTCAGGGCCTGGGAGTTCTGGGGGCTCTGGGGTCGTCCCTGGGTGCCTGGGGTCCCAGCCCGACTCAGCCGGGGTGAGCAGAGGTAAGAGGAGGAAACAACAGCAACACAGAACAACGCCCTGTGCCGGAAAGAGCCCAGACTCCCTCTCATCCCCAACTCTTCCCAAGGATCGAACCCCTAACCAATCCTCCCCACAACGCCCAGGCCCCGGTCATTGCCGTGCTGTGCTCCGGTGGGGGGCTGCGGGCCCACATCGCCTGCCTGGGGGTCCTGAGTGAGCTCCAAGAACTCGGCCTGTTGGACGCTGTCACATACCTGGCAGGGGTCTCGGGGTCCACCTGGTAAGTGTCCCCTTTGGGGATGGGAGGCAGCAGGCTGACTTCTGAAACAATGCAAGAGCGTCGTCTTCCTGACGCCAAGTGCCTGCTCGTTTTTGTTTTAAAAAAAGATTTTATTTATGTTAAGAGGCTGTGTGTGTGTGTGTGAGAGAGAGAGAGAGAGAGAGAGATCTTCCTTCCACTGATCCACTCCCCAAGTGGCCACAGCAGCCAGGGCTGGGCCAGGCTGAGGCCAGGAGCCTGGAACTGGCGGTGGGTGGAACACAGCCCCTTTTAGCTTCTCTGCCTCTGTGATGCAGTATTGAGTTCAGTCTGTGTAAGACTTTCCACTCAAGAGGCCCAGACAGCAGGAATGAAGCACTCACTCCTGTGCACCTGCTCCAAGCCCAGGGTAGACATTACTAATTGATTGTGGCACATTTTCTGTGCAAGAGCCAAGAACAAACCAGGGAGCAGGGGCCAGAGTGAGATGGGGCAGGCTGAGGCAGGAATGTTGGACCTAGCTGGATAGATTGAATTTCTTTCTAAGCTCAAGCTTTGACGCACAGCTGAGTTTTGAGCTGGGCACGGAGGATAAGGTTACTGGTTAATGGAGACAGTTGCATGAAGAGCGGAGAAGCAGAGTGTGGGAGTGAGGCAGGTCCTGCAGGGTCTCACCCAGGACCCCAGGACGCCCTGAAGCCTGTCTTACATGCTGAGCGGTATGGCACAGTGTTTAAGAGAACTGCCTCGCTACACAACCCCGGGGTGCTGCCGGCACAGGGATCTCATGGTCTGTTACTCTGCGGCACACGACACTGCACCTCAGCCCTCCTATTCTCGGCTGAAGTCCTTGCAGGCTGTGCATTCTCATTCCATGGTGTTCTTTGTGTTTTTTTGTGAATTGCTCACCACTTCCTCTGATCACCACCCTACCTATGAGGAAGATATGCAGAGCCAATGCCCTCCTGCCCGCACCCTCCCCGCTTTCCTGGTCCACACTTCTGGCTCCCAACCCGCTCCCCTGCCCCTGTCCGCCAGGGCGATGTCCTCGTTCTACAATAACGAGGGTAACACGAAAGACACAGAGGATGACCTGAAACGTCGATTCGACCAGAAGGACTGGGACCTGACCCAGAGCATGTACAGAACCATCCAGGCGGCAAAGGAGGACACTTACTCTCTGACCGACTTTTGGGCCTACATGGTGGTCACCAAACATACCCGAGAAGTAAGTGGTTCCCGCCCAGGACCCCTGAGGAGGGTGGCCAGAGAGCCCAGACCTCTTCCAAATCTGGTCACTTGGATGTGGCCTTGAAACTGAAGTATGTTGGGGTTTGCTTGCAAGTAGCAGAACTGGACTCTGATTCGCTGATGCAAAGTGATCCAGTGATAGCACTTATTGGGAAGATCCAGGGGCCCCCAAGAGCAGGAAGGGTCCAAAGCAAAAGCTCTCTCCATCCCTTCATCTCTCCTTGGCTGCTCAGTATCTTGTATTCACGTCTGTCTGCGCTTGTGTCTGGCTCTCGTATGTCAGGAGGACTTCGTATTTCTGCTTCTCTGTGCACAGAACAGCAAGTGTTTCCCGCACCCCCGGATGCCAGCTGGGTTCACCCTGGGAGCCTCCCACCGGCTGTCCTGGGATGCCGCCCACACTGCTTGAAGACGTGGCTTGCCAGCTCAGTGTGGGGTCCGAATGGGTGTGGCTCCCAGGGTGACCTCAACACGGGGTGCTGTTCTCACAGAAGAGGGTTTAGGATGATCGTGTATCTAACCGCTGGGTTGGGTTGAGCAGTGGTCCCACTCTTAGAAATGGGAGCAGCAGGACATAGAAAGCCTGACCTGTGGGATGGAGACAAGGAGAGGGGAGGAGACTGAAGTTACTGTGGTTGGGAGTAGGGTTTCCACAGGGCTGTGTCACCTGGGTGAACAGGTGTGGTTCAGCAATGACAGAGGGGACCAGGTACGCGTGGCCACTGGGAGCATAGAGCTGGGGTTTTCTCCCTCTCCCTCTCTCTCTGACCCCCACCCTCCAGTGGTAACTTGATATTCTCTCAAGCTTCATCGAGGTATAGTGGGCACACACAGAATTGAACATGCATCCAGATTTAACGTCTGCATGTTGATGAGCTGAGACATATGCACACACCTGTGATACCATCACCACAATCAAGATTCCAGACATACCCATCACCTCCAGAATTTACCTCGTGTTCTTCTGTGCTCTGTGTGGACATGGGAAGGGGAGGGGATAAGGACACTTAACATGAGATCTGCCCTCTTAAATGACACTAGGTGGAAGGAGCCAGTCGCAGACGGACTAACGCGGGCGATTGCACCTCCAACCTCGCAGAAGTGGAGAATGTAGCAGTGGCTCCCAGGGCCAGGGTGGGGAAGAGGGAAATGGAAGGCGTTGCTCAGTGGGTGTAATGTTTAAGTTAGGCAGCACGAGTCGGCTCCAGAGCTTTGCTGTCCAACGTAGGGCCTGCAGCGGATGGCACTGCGCCCCCTAAGGCGCATTGAGGGGGAGGCTGTCCTGAGCGCAACGCACGCATCTTACCTGTGGACGCCAGCCCTGCCAGTCTTGCTCGTGGAGAACATATGGAGGCCCCCTTGAGAATCCTCCACTGGGTAACTCCCACCCAGTCACACCCTCTTTGGCTGCACTAATTTTCCAAAAGTATTCAAAATAGAAGTTCCCCAGCCCAGTGAATGCTTTCAGTTCCTAGATACAAATTCTGCTTGAGCCCCATGACATACGGAGGTAGCCCTAAGACAACATGGTCTGGGGTCAGGCTTGTCACCAAGACCAGTTAACTCAGTTAAAACTCCAGGCTTTGCAGATAGAAACCCTGCGTTTATACACAGCGCAGGGACTGGTGTTGTGGCACTGCAGGTTAAACCGCTGCCTGCGACGCCAGCATCCCCTGTGCGTACCAGCTCAAGTCCCGGCTGTTCCACTTCCAGACCAGCTCCCTGCTAATGCATCTGGGAAGGCAGCAGAGGATGGGTCCCAGCCACCCATGAGGGAGACCTGGATGGAGTTCTTGGCTCCTGGTTGCAGCCTGACCCATCCCCAACCACTGCAGCCATTTGGGGAATGAACCAGTGGATAGAAAGTTGCTTTCTCTATCTCTCCCTCTCTCTCTCTCTGTAACTCTGCCTTTCAAATAAATGAGTGACTATTTAAGAAAATAAAGAGAGTCCCTATTATAGAGAGGAGAAGGAAGCCGAGGAAGGAGATGAGGGACAGTGCCCAGGTTGACCCAGTGAGTAGATGGTGAACATGAGGGACCAAGCAGAGCAGTCTGCCTCCAGAGCCTGCACTCAAATAAATAAATAAATAAAGTAAATAAAGTTTTGTTTATTTGAAAGGCAGAGTGGGGAGTAGGGAGGATACAGAGACAGAGAGAGAGAGAAAGATCTTCCTTCCACTGGTTCACTCCCCAAATGGCTGCAACAGCTGGGGCGGGGCTGGGCTGAAGCCAGGAGCCTGGAACTCCATCCGGGTCTTCCATGCGGGTGCAGAGACCCAAGCACTTGGGCCATCTCCCGCTGCTTTCCCAGGTGCATTAGCAGGGAGCTGGATCAGAAGGGACTTGAACCCGTGCCTGTATGGGATGCCAGCATCACAGGAGGCGGCTTAGCCTCCTACACCACAGCTCTGGCTCCAAGAGAGCCTGAACTCTTAACCAACCCCAAAGTCACCTCCCCAGGCACAGGAGGAGGTGCACAGGCAAGGCTGGAGTTGGCACTTCCCAGGGGGACCAAGGAGCGGGATGTACAAAAAAGCGGTCATTTTAAAGCCGTTCATTGACCACCTACTGTGGCTGCTGAGCCCGTCGTTGAAAGGAGTCTTCAAAGATGAACAGGAAGGAGAAGGCAGGACACTGCAGCCGAGGGAGCACCCCGTGCGTCATCTCGGCACTCTCTACCCAAAGCTGCAGGAATCCTGCTTGTCCAGCATGAAGCAGCCTGTGGACGAAGGAAGGCTGCCCTACCCGCTCTTTGCAGCCATCGATGTTGACTTCCAAACCGCCTGGAAGGAGAAGAAATCCCAGAGTAAGAGAATACCTGGAGGGAGGGGCAGGGGAGGGGTTGCAAGGCACGGAGGGAGTGAGTGTGGGGGTGTCTTCCTGCCGCTGCCCGTGGTGAGCCCAGGAGAGCGCGGGGAAGGCCCAGAGTCACCGCAGGGCACACGCTTGCTCTGCGTGCACGGGGACAGTGAGAGCCAGCGCGGGGCCTCTTTCCTCTTCACAGGTCAGCTTCACCCAGATGCTCTTGACTTTGCAGCCTGGCTGGTTCCTCTCTGGGCCCCAGGCTCTCTCAGAGATCCAGCCCTCCTGAGCCAGGTCCCCAAGCATACACTGTGTGTGCTCACCTGATGGCTCCCCATCCGTCAGGCAATGCTCCCGGTGCCTGGACGTCATCTCCTGAATGCTTCACCCCTTGCCCCCCAGGAGGGACCCCTGTGCCGTTTCCCCACCAGCATAGGCACAGCTAACTCTCCTTCCCATAACATCCCAAAATCCAGTCCTTTCCAAAACCTGTAAGTCACCTCTCCTCATTGAAACCCCTAGTCCTCGCTCCACCACCCCTAAGCCACCCGGGCTCACGGTCTGGAGGACTTGTACTTACTTCCTCACTGACCGCCCTGTCCCGGGAGGTCACCTCCTTCCGTGGCGGTCTGATGGACAGCCCCAGACTGAAAAAATCTGACCCTGTGCTTTCCCTCCTTGAAATGCCCCGCTGACCTCCCAAGTGCCCACAGATCGGTCTTATAGCCATGAGGCCTGACCCCTCCCCACACTCCCAGGCCTGGGAGGCTGTACGATGGAGGAGGAGAAAGATGGAGATGAGGGCTCAGGCTCTGGGGAATATGGGGAACAGGAAGCCACAGAGATTGTGAACCACCACCAGCTTGACAGCGGCTCTCAACAGCCATGGGACGAGATGCCCACGTGGCCTCTGAGCCCACACACAGGCAGAGATGTTCCAGCGTCTGGGTTGCCAGTCCTCCTCCAACAGATTTGCTCTCTCCGAGCACCTGCTGCATTCTGGGCTCCGTGGGTGCCGGGGACTCACTCTTGTTTGTCCTGCCCAGAGACCTGGTTTGAGTTCACGCCTCACCACGCCGGCTACCCTGCGCTCGGGGCCTACGTCTCCACCACCCACTTTGGAAGCAGATTTGAGAACGGGAAACTGATCGAAGCTAAGCCTGAGCGAGATCTGGCCTTCCTGAAAGGTGGGTCCTGGCATCGTGGGGAGGGGACGGGAAGTCGGGGGAGGCGGTTTTGCCCCTGGCTCTGCCCAGCTCCTGTTTACAAGTATTTCTGGGAGGAAAGAAAAGGCCCTGGGGGCTTCCTAAGGAAGGGGCTTTGTTCTTCCTGCTGAGGAACCAGTTTGTCCAGGGGCTCCTTAATAGCACAAATCGCAGAGTCTTAGCAGACAACCTAGGAGAGGCAGCAGGATGGCAAGGGCTCAGATCCAGGGCTGCAGCTGCCAAGAGCGAGATCCAGGATGTGTTCAGGGCATCAGCAAAACAAAGGGCCTACAATTTTCTTTAACAAAAAGAGTGATGGAACAAGCAAGTGTGTGGGCTAACAGTTAAGACACCTGCCTCCCATGTGGGAGTGTCTGGCTCCTGACTCCAGATTCCCACTAATGCAGGCCCTGGGAGGCAGCGCTGAGGGCTCACGTAGCTGGGTCCCTGCCACCCACGTGGGAGACCTGGATTGAGTTCCAAACCCCTGGCTTCAGCGCCAAGCATTGTGGGCACTTGAGGAGTGAACTAGTAGAGGGGAACTCTGTGTGTGTGTGTGAGCATGTGAGTGTGCGTGTGTCTCCCTCTCAAAACACATCAACAACAAAAACAACCAGGTATTTACACAAAGAAAAATAAAAAACCATTAAAGAAGTGGTGGTGCAATCGGAACTTGCCGAGGTTTTCTTGATTGTCGCTTTGACAGTCATCCTACTTTCAGGATGGCACCGTGAACCTCGCAGCATGCAGGGGCTGGAAGGTGTCCCCCGTGGGATCAGATGGCGTCACTGCATGGGACCAGTCCAGCTGAGTTGTCACATTCGGGGAGGGGCATGTACCCGAGGGTGTGGCTGTGGCAGCTGTGGCGGGTCTCACAAACAGAAACAGCTAGTGGCGGGGACAACTCAAGGATGGTTGAATTTCCACTTATTCAGCAAATAATTCAGATACACACTTGAGCCATTATCCAGGCTTCCCAGTGTCTCCATCAGCAGGAAGCAGGAGCCAGAGTTCGGGGTCGGACCCAGGGTCCCCTGTAGGACAGGGGCATCCTAACCACTAGGCCACACAACCATCCTAGGTCTAATTTTGTCACAAAACAAAGAGACAGGAGCAAGCAGCCGCCAACACAGGCTTTGCTCAGCAGGGTTGAGCTTGGGTTTCTGCTCCTCCACCCATGTTGCATTTACACTCACCCTCTGCGTCTGCCACGGTGGCCATGTCCACTGAGTTGGCCCCTTTTCAGGAAGAGGGCAACACCTCCCAGGAGCCCCCCCCCCCCGCCGTGCCATCTGCCCAGACCAGGGCTTGACCTCCCCCTAGCTGCGAGGCAGGCCGAGAGATCTTTGCCCTGTCCACTTCTGTCCCGAGAAGTGCAGATGCAGATGCAGAGCTTGGGGTGGCCTTGGGGCGGTCAACAGTGGCTGGCTGGCTGGCTCCATCCACAGCGTGGTCCCCAGAACAGGCACCCCATCTGTCTTGTTTACTGCTGCCTTCTAGAAAAGTGCCCGGTGCTCTTGCCGCTTCCTGAGTGCAGGAACAGTCGTCCCTCCCAGCGCAGAGTCGCACGGTGACTTACACCCACTGCCGGGTGTCAGAGCTGTGGGGGGAGGCGTTCTGACTGCATTTCTGTTTCTTCTGCAGGTTTATGGGGAAGCGCTCTAGCTAGCATGGAAGCCATTAAGGAGTGCATTATGGGTGAGTGGAGAACAGAGTGGTCAGTGCCTAGAGGTTATTTTCCACGAGGGAATCGGCAGTGCTTTCCTGGTCCATGGCAGAAGGGAGAGCCGCACTTCTTTGTTCAGACAACTGCACGTTCTAGCAAATCGCTGCCGCTTTTCACACACTCACTGTGGGCAGCTGGAAAGACTGCCTGGGACGGAGTGGCGCCCTGGGACACAGGAGCCCTGTGGCCGCTGGGAGGTTACTTAACCCCTCTGGCCTCAGTGTGTGCATCTGTAACCGGAGAGTCACTGTGGTTATGTGGGCAGGCCCACTGCTTAAACTCTGTGACCCAATGCCCCCGGCCAGAACGTGGAGAAGAGAGCAGTCCCCAGCCTCACGTATTGGATGGGAGGTTTCAGTGACCAGATGTGTATAAGGTACTTAGGGCAGCGCCTCGCTGGGTCTTGTTACTGACAGTTCACAGCTGTAACTACTCATCATTCATTTAACACCTAAGCTAAGAGATGTCCCCAGGTAGCCAAGCACAGTGGTGGGTCGTACGCGCAAGTATTGTCCTTTGACCATGGTGTTCGCCGTACGTTGTTTCAAGGTCAGTCTGATAGAAGCGTGAGCTTGTGGGATACATCGGAATTTCACTTCCACAGTGGGCCTTGCTAAGCTGGCTCTTAGCCGGGGTCTCCTAACGTGTTTGCTTGTTTGCCATTTCCATGGTATAAATGTCCCCTCCCTGGCCAGTTTGAGTTCACTGAACACAAAGGTGGAAGGCAGGTGTACAAACCAGCTCCTGGGGCCTTCCGCGGGCTCCGGCCCGGCACTGCCATTTCTAGCTCAGAGATGCCTCCCGCCCCAGGTCATCTATATTTGCTTTAAAAACGGCCAACACCATCGCTGGTGGCTTTGGTGCACCGTCAGTGTTCTCACCTCTGTTGTCTTGCAGAAAAGTTACAGAAATGGAAAGAAAGCTTGCATCCGAAGTGTGAGTACAGAGAAGGTAAGCACCCTGCCTCGCTGTGCATCAGTAGTGAGAACACGGAGGGGGCAGTGGCTCAGAGCCAGCCGTCGGCAACCCATCCCCCCTGAGGTGGATACTGCTGGTGTCGGCCCTGCTCCACTGGCCATCACTCGGGCTTGAACGTACTCCCCAGAGTTCACAGTGACAGTGCTGGGAGTGTGGGGGGTGTCTCATGACCTAGTGAGAGGGGACTGGCTCAGGTGAATGGGCGATGGTGTCATCTCGGGAGGGGTTAATTATCACGAGAGGGGGTCCTGAGGAACGGGGGTGCTCTCTTCACCGCGCTCCATCTACCACGGTTGCAGGAGAAGGCACTGGCAAGCTGTAAGACCTTCCCCAAGACTGTGTGGGCAGGCGTCATGAGAGAGAGACAGGGAGAGGTGGGACATAGGAGACAGAGAGGAAAGGGTTATATTTCGCTCACCCAGAAGAAGGGTGGCCCACCCCGACCTGTCCTGCAGGCGGGGTCTCAGGAATCCAACCTCTTTGCATCTGGTTGCTCCTCCTCTCCACCCAAGATCTCCTTGTTTGTCCCACAGTAACCTTGAAAGGCATGGCCATCAACAAGTCCGGTCACGTCGGTCTCACAGGTCAGTCACACGGCCCCCAGAGGAGACTGCAGTACAGCATGCCCAGTCACGTCGGTCTCACAGGTCAGTCACACAGCCCCCGGAACTGCAGGGGAGGCAGGCAGCGTGGTCCTGTGTGCCAGGGTGCAAGTTCCTGGTGCCAGCCAGTGGGGCTGCTGTCGAGCTGGTTTTCTGTGACTGTAATGAGATACCTGAGGCTGGGCAGTGTTGCAGAGAAAGGAGGTTTATTTGGGTCACAGCTGTGGCAGCAGCTGCTTTGCTGGCAGAGCCATGGGCCATGCAGGCATAGCATGGCAAGAGACAGGCTGGGCACCTGGGTCTCTGCAGGTCTCTCTGTGTCTTCTTACAGAGCCAGGGCTCCAGCACGGGGGCTTCCCCCGTGGCCGCCCCTGACCCTCATCGCCTCCCAGCAGCCCTGCCTCTCAACAGATCTGGTTTCCACCTCTTACTCTCTCACAGTGGGGGTGACATTTCTTTAGTTACTTTTAACTGCTTTTTTTAATTAATATAAAGAGAAAAGATTTCATGTCATTCATCGATACAATTCTGAGAATATAATGATGCTTCCCCTCGCATCCTCGCTCTTGCTCCCTTTCTTTTTTAATTTTTGCAATACCATATTTTTGCTTTTCTTTATAGTCAAAGGTTTGATGCCCCACTAAATGGTTCAACAAGTAAAAAGTAGAAAGACCACTGTCCCACAGCAATATAGACAGGGGCTGTGAACAGTAATCAAATCCCAAGATGTCCATTTCACTCGTACACATTAAATTTTTTATATTCCATGTACTAGCTACAACCCAGAGAAGAATGTGCTATTGTCCTTTGGGGTCTGGCTTATCCCAGGAAGCATCACCATCTCCAGTTGCCTCCGTTTTGTGGCAAAAGTCAGGATCTTACTTTTTTTTTTTTTTTATGGCTGAGTAGACCATTTTCTTTATGTAGCCATCAGCGGATGGCCATCTGGGTCCATCCCAGAACTTAGCTCTTGTGAGCTGCTGTAAACGTGGGGGCTCAGGTGGCTCGCTCATATGCTGATTTCAGCTCCTTTGGATAAATCCCCTGGAGTGGGATGGCTGGGTCATTTTTAGTTTTCTGAGGAATCTCCGTTCTGTCTGCTATAATGGTTGCACAGTTCACGTTCCGTAGGGATTCTGGTTCAACACACAAGCCTTGCGGGCCTTGGCCACGCCCAAACCACAGCAGTGGGGTTGGGGGGAGGCCCTCCTCTAGGTGCAGAACAGGGACTCCCCATATCCCCACGTGGCAGAAGGAAGGCCCGGGAGGCCCGGGAGGCCCCCTCGAAGGGCACTGACCCCACTCAGGAGGGCTCCACGCTCACATCATCATCACCTGTCAGAGGCCGGGCCTCCTAAGTCCACCCTAACCATTGCAGGTTGGGACCCCAGCCTGGGACTTGGGGGCCACCAAGCACTCTGGTCATCCCCGTCTCACTCTCTCTGCTCTGGACACAAACACCCCCTTCTCAGTCCCACCTCAGGGTCTCTGCACCCACTATTTTCCCTCAGAAACCCACAGGCCTCCCTCCCATCCTCCACCCAGGGGCTTTGCTCAAAATGCCACGTCCTCAGAGAAGCCTTCCCTGACCACCCTCCTCATGCCCCCGCCCCCAGCAAGCCGGTTTTCCTCCTGGTTCTGGCTGCCCAGAGCACACCACATGTGGCTTCCCTGTTTTTGGTCGCTTCCACTCTCCGGAGCCCTGGGGCCCGCATAGGGGGTGCCCGAGATTGGAAAGTCCTCGTTTGGAACCTGAGGCGACGTCAGCCTGCCTCACACTCGGCCTTGGATGTGCGCCCGGGCCTTGTCCCTTCCTCAGTGCCTAGGGACGGAACCCGAGCTGATGCGCTCGGAGCTGCTAGGGGTGCGGAGGCGGGGAACGCGTGTGCCATCCCCGGCTCCCGGGAGCCTGGGACGCGGGAAGCTGAGGCCTGAGGGTGACGTCAGGGTGTGAGGGGGAAGGAGAGGCCCCGCCGGAACCCGAGATGCGTGCGGGAAGCCTTTGACGGAGCCGGAAACTGAGGCCTGAGAGCCGGAAGTTGAGGCCGGAGACTGACGTCAGGGTGTGAAGGGGAATGAGAGGCCCCTGTGGTCCTGGGAGGAACCCCATCTCTCGCATCCTGGGCCGACGGGCACGCCGCTCGAGCTCAGCTGTCCCCATCTTACGGTGGCTCCAGTTTGGGGGTGGCGGAGGTTGCCCCCATCTCCTGTTGGGTCCCCTGAAGCGAACGAAGTCTAGGCGGCAGTGAGGTCTCCTCCTCTGGGGCCAGGGAGTTTCCGTCCCTCAGCTGTATCCACGTCCATCATGGGCTAAGGGTGGGCCTGGGAGGGACGTCCACTCTCAGGTACCTTCCCCGTGGCAAAGCCTTCACGAGCAAAGCTCACAGCGGCCGGGGCGTGGACCCCCGCATCGGTAGAGACCCGAGGGGACTGGGGGAGGCAGCAAGGCACCAGGGACCTTGAGGGTGAGCGCTTGCTGTCTCAGCAGGGTCGGAGGTGGACGAGGCTCTGCTGGATCTGCTGCTGGCCTACGTCCAGGATCCCAGCTCCAGCAGCGTCATCGACAGGCTCCAGGCCCTGCAGCTGCAGCTCGCAAGGGAAGGTTTGTGCACCAGGGGGTGCCCGCAACCCCTGCGCGGTGGGGACCACGGGGCTGGGAGGCCGTGATGCAGGGGTGGCTGCTTCCCCTTGACCCTCACCGGCTCCTCTGGCGAGAGGGAGGAGGCGGGGGTCAGGGGAGGCGCCGAGCCAACAGGAATGTAATCAGCCTTGGGGACTCATTCGAAGCACTGCGTCATCGGGCATCCACGATGACGTCACTGGGCCACGGCCTCTCAGGGACCAGCGCCCCACGCATGTGTGGTCTGTCTTGGACCATGAACTAAGCAGAGCGGCTGGGGCTGGGGAACGCAGGGTCCTGAGAAGGGCGTTCAGCTCCTGCCGATGGTCAGCATTCCGGGAGGAGGGACCCCTGCTTCCAGGCAGCGTGGACTCAGCCCTGCGCTCTGTCCAAACGCCTCAATGTCCAGTCCTCACCACCATCCCATGGCAGAAGCGCCAAGAGATTGAGTGGTCCAGCCCAGGGGACACAGCTCATAAACAGCAGTGCTGGGTTCAGATCCGCCTCCTCTGGCCCCAGGATGCACCAGGGCGATCCGTAACAGTTACCAGCCAGAACACCTGGGGTCTGTGGGAAATCTTCCTCCTTTTCAGTGCTGCTGACTAATTCCTGGTTGCTTTAGCACATGGGTGAACGTGTTTGGGGACAGGATCTGGTTGCCACAGAATTCCCGTGAGAGACAGAGCAGGGGAAGAACCTGGGCATGTGCCTCAGTGCCTCCTTCTCTGTGCAGTGGGGTACCCTAGGGCCTTCCTCACAGGGATGGGGGAAGGTGGGAGGAGGGAGTGCACGCTGCAGCCGCAGGTGGGCCTGGCACAGGTGGGAGCAGTCACATCAACAATGACTCACTCCTGATTCGTGGGTGTGGCTGAGAGCAGATGAGGAGAGGGCTTGGAAGTGAGCCCTGGAGTAGAGTCAAGAGAGACTGGACAGTAAGAGCCACTGAGGCCACAGCGGGGAGAGAGAAGGTGACATGGAGAAGGCACAGCCCGCATAGGAGGAGATGCTGGGCATCGTGAAAGGTGAGATGGAACCGGGGACACAGATGGTCCGAGGGGGTGACCACCTGGGTTTCTCGAGACAGGTCGAGAGGTTGAGCCCGAACACACCTGGCTGGCTGAGATGATCCAGCATTGGAGCAGCATCCCCCCGGAAGAGCAGGGCCAGTTCCTGGAATACCTGGTGTATAGCTTCACGAGAGAAGAGGAGACCCCTGTAGGCAGTGAGAGGAGTGGCCCGATGATGCAGTGCAGAATGTACAGTCCGATGAGCACCGTGAAGAACATCTTCCGTGAGTGCTGATCCGTGAGCCCCCGCCCCCTCCTACTCGCCCATGGTCCCGCAAGGTGGCAGCTGCAGGAAGCAGCCAGATTCCCACGGTCCATGCACGCACTGGGGTGTCCTGAGTTGTTGGTGCAGGTTGGAGGGGATGGACCAGGTTCTCACAGTCGCGAAGAGATGGAGAGTAGACAGGTGAGCCAGCCACAAACAGGACCACCTAGACGGAGCGAAACTCCATGGAGACGGAAGGAGGGGAGAGTGCAGGCGGCTGGTGAGGAGGTGTGGCAGGAAACTGGGACAGAGAGGCGGGACACACCAAGGCTCTTAGCAGGGAAAACAGCTTGATTCTTCTGCCAGCTGGTCCAGGGGAGGGTTCAGTCTCCAAATTCCGGGTCTCAAGCAAAGCAAGGCATGGTCTGATGTCCCCAGCTCAGACAACTGTTAAGCTTCCTTATGCATACTGTTATACCGGCTTTGGGCTACAGCGATTGCACTGCCCACACAGCCGCCACACAAAGTCACCCCCCGTGTGCACCTGTGGCTGACCTCGCTGGATTTGTGGTGTTTCTCAGGAAACCCCTCCACCCCCCATTCCAGGTTTCTTTGTTCTTTTCTATCTGGAGGGGAGGGGCCCCTAGGGGTCCCTGCCACAGAGGAGGGGCTGCAAGAACCACTTACTAAGCCCGCTGCCTGGGAGCACCAGAGACAGCCCCGGGCCCTGCACAGCCGGCCTCTAGGGCTTCCGCTGTGAGCCACCAAAAGTCTGTTCCCTTTGAAGACTCCAGCTACCTAGCAGCTGTCAAGGAGAGGAGAGCCTCGTTCTCTATCTTCAGGCTTTACCTCTCCCTCTCTCCTCTCTTTTGAAAAATGGCTGTCACATTCAAAATGGTGCGTGTTTTACAGTGGGGGCCACCGATGTCCTGAGCCGTGGACATTGTGTACTATCCGGATTGAAGTAAACATGTCTATTTCCGCGAGCGCTCATCCTTTCTTTGGGGTGACAGCATTCGAGACCCTCCCTCCTAGCCTTGTGAAGTAGGCAATGCAGTGGCATTGTCTGCAGTCACCCTATGGGCAATACAAGAACGCATTTCTCCTAACTACAGTGTAGAGCCCGTCAGCCAGCCAATCTTTCTGCCAGCCCCCCAACTCTCCTCAGCCTCTGATGGCCACCATTCCACTCTCCACTTCCATAACGTCAGCTTGTTTAGATCCCACATGCGCGTGGGGTCATGCGGTGCTTGTCTTTCGGTGCCTGGCTTATTTTCCCTTAATGCAGTGACCTCTGGTTCCAACCACGTCCATTGCAACTGACAGGGTTGCATCCTTTTGCTGGCTGAACACTATTTCATTGTGTGGACAGACCGCATTACCTTAACCATTCGTCAGTGGATGGTCACTTAGGTTCATCTCTTTTTTAATCTTACATAAATTCCTGGTTTTAGTCTCTTTAGGGTGAACTCTGTCCACTCCTTGGTTTCCCTTGTATATAATTTAAATAGCAAGCCAGCCACTAACTTGGTGCCTTTGAGATATTCTTGGTCAGGCTCCCTTTATTAATATCGTTTTTTATTTGAGAGACAGAGACGGAACCCCCAGCCACTGGTTTGCCCCCTAAGTGCCTTCAATGGCCAAGGTTAAAGCCAGAAACTCGGTTGAGGTCTGCCACGTGCGTGTAGGAAGCAAATTCCTTGAGTCATCGTGGCCACCTCCCAGGGTGTGCATTACCAGGAAGCTGGAGTCAGGAGCCAGGGCTGGGAACGGTGCCATTCACTCCAGGGTGGGATGCAGCTGTCCTAACTGCTGAGCCAAGTGCCCCGCTCCCTGTAGCCAGGGTTGAGGAAGAAGGAAGGCGTCTTTAAGGCGATAGCTGAAAAGCCGAGGATGGGGAAAGTCAGATGAGATGCTCAGGTCACCCCCCTGTGGGTCATGGGGAGAGATGAGGTTTGTGGCAGAAGCCTCCGGTACACTCTTCCGAAAAGATCTGACTCAAATAAGAACCCTGGAGGCTTGTGGGAAATAAGACGAAAAGATAACATTTATTTTGTGTGCAACGTATGAAACGCACACACAGAAAGCGTGTACTAGAAGATGTTACGTGTGGGTGTCTAGAAGTTTCTGCGAGACTTCTGAAGTACCCTCCTCTATCCTAACTTACCAGACAACATAAGGGTGATGCGGCGATTCCGCCTTGGTGGCTGAACCCAGACCAAAGGCGACTGCCTCCTGGCCATGCCCCCTGGGGCCTTTCCTCTGCCTGCACTGTCCCTGTGTCTTCCTCAGACTTAACGACTTGCGTCCTGTTAGGGTCGTGACATCATGCAGCCTCACTGTCCCGCTTTCAGGCTCTGTCCCCAGTAGTCACATGGGGGGCTCGGGTTCACCATGAGTTCAGCCCTTCCCACTCACTCTGGCCCTCTCCGTTCTCCCTCTAGAGTCTTTGACGAAGTCTTACTATTTTATGACTAAAACTGCATTGTGCTGTTACAAGTGGGAATGGGGGACCATCCACAACTTCCTGTACAGACATGGTGAGAAGCCTGGATCCTCCCTCCAGTGGGGACTGGATGGGTGGGGGTGGGGGGGGGTGGGGAGGGACAAGAAAGATCTCAGGCCTGTCCCTCACCCAGAGCTGTGAGGGCCTTCCTGTGAGTGCTGGTTCCCCTGGCAAGATGTGTGACCTTGTTGGTGTGAGTTCAAGGCACTGTGAAAAGCCCAGTCCCTGAAAAGTCGGAACCCAAGCTCAATGTGGGCCTGTTGTAAGATCTGATCTGAAACACACCTGATGTGTTTTCCTCCCGCGGGGCTGACCCCATCCATCGTGTAGAACTGACACCAGTCGGCTTCCGTGGCTGGTGGGCACCCTCTCCCATGGCCATACCCACCCTTCACCTTTGAACTGCCCCCATGCTGTTGTGGGGAGACAGTGCTGAACATCTTTGTGTGCTGGGCCCTGCTGGCTCCGTGCAGGTCATGACAGGTGCATCAGCCAGGGAGGTGAGTCCCAACCCACACCCTCTTGTTCAGGGCTGGGCAAGGCTTGAGGAGTCACGTGACCACTGGCCCACCTTGTGCAGCTGTAGCGAGAAACCCGCAGCTGAGGACTCGTGAAACAAAGGGGTTTATTCGTAAAGCTCATGGCTTCAGAGTCTGAAAGTCTGAGCTCAGGCAGCCCCATGTGGTCAGCCTCTGAGGAGGGCCCCATGGCTGCTTGGCAGGAGAACACAAAGGGAGACAGCGATGTGCAGAAGACACCAAGCCTGTGGGGCGGCCTTGCTCTGTAACAACCCTCGCTCTGGAGAACTCACTGCGCGAGGCCAAGCTTCATCCCTTCCAGGGGTGGTGACCCAGTTACCTTCCTCTAGGTCCCACCTCTTAAAAGTTCCCATGTCCTCAACCCCACTGCACCGAGAGCCAAGCTTCCAGCCCACACGCCCTGGGGGCTGCACTCAGCTGATGTCCCAGCCAGAGCAGGAGTAAACCCTGGCTGAACATTGCGCAGGGCACAGGGGCTGCAGCTGTCTGCACAAAGCTGGCCTCGGAAGAGACTGTCCAGTGTGCACGCCCCGGGCCACGGGATAGGTGTTTTAGCAACAAATTCCTCCCGAAGGAGCTGGAGGAGATCATTCCGCAGCCGCAACAGAAGGCACTGGCAGAGGCACTGGACTTGTGGTCAGGGAAGCCACAACACAACACCACACATGGGGCCTCCAACCACTTATTTATTTGAAAGGCAGAATCACAGAGAGGGAGAGACAGAAAGAGGCCTTCCAGCTGCTGATTCACTCCCCAGATGGCCACAATGGGTGGGGCTGGGAGAGGTGGAAGCCAGAAGCCAGGAACTCCATCTGGGTCTCCCACAGGGGTAGCAGGGACACAAACACCTGGGCCATCTTGAGCTGCTGTCCCAGGTGCATTAGCAGGGAGCTGGACTGGAAGTGGAGCAGCTAGGACTGGAACCGGGTGCCCACATGGGATGCCAGTGTGGCAGGCAGTGGCTTCACCACTGCACCACAACCCTGGCCCCAGCCACGCATGCTTTCTTACAGTTCTGGGTGCCAGGTGCCTGAGCTGCCTCAGCAGGGTTGACTGTGTCCGCAGCCCCCTCGTCGGCCTGCAGCTGGCTGTCTTCTGCATCCTCACCTGGTCGCCCCCTGTGTGTGTTTGTGTCCTGGTGTCTTCTTAGAAGGATACCTGTCCTGTGGGACTGGGGCCCACCAAAAAATAAAACCCATCTCTGTCAGACCCTGCCTCCAAGCACGGGCACAGTCTGAGATCCTGGGGTTACGACTGCACCCTGGAATGGAGGGTGGGTCTGCGGCCTGGTGATGAAGTCACCGCCCGGGACGTCCACATTCCATATTGGACAGCCTGAGTTTTAGTTTGAGTCCCGGCTCCACTCCCAATTCCAGCTTCCTGCTTTATGGGCACCCTGGGAGGCGGCAGGTGACGGCTCAAGTACTTGGGTCCCTGCCATTCACATAGGAGATCTGGATTGAGTTCCCTGCTCCGAGCTGCAGCACTGGGGAGTGAACCAGTGGACAGAAGATTCTCCGTGTGTGTCTGTCTCTCAAATAAGTAAAATGTCTGAAACCTCAGCACACGCACAGGGAGGTCACAGTTCAGCCCACTGCCAGCTCCCTCACCACTCCAGCAATGGTCATTTTTCCCATTCTCCTGCTGTGTGTGCCAGCCTCGCTTCCGGTCCCAGCAAATCCCTGCTCCTCTCTTCCCGGCCGCTGCAGGTGCCATCGCCGACAAGACCATGCGCAGCCGGGAGCTCCTGCACCTGGTGGACGCGGGCTTTGCCATCAACACCCCCTACCCACTCGTGCTGCCCCCCTCGCGCAAGGCTCAGCTCATCCTCTCCTTTGACTTCAGCGCCGGCGATCCTTTTGAGGTATCGAGAGGGCGTGGGAAGGAGCTGAGGCAGGCTGGGAGGTGGGCACAGGGAAGAGCTGGCTGCAGGCCCTGGAGGCCAAGTCCACTCATCTGGGCACACAGTGGCCCTCGGGACGAAGCTGCTGAGCGGGAGAAAATGCAAGCACAGAGTGTGCCTTCAGGGAACGCTCATCCCCACCCGGCCGCACCCTGCTCTGCCGGGCGTGGGGGTCTTCACCGAGGCTCCCGGGCGTCTCCTGGCCGGTCCTGAGACAGGTGCCACTGCCTCCCTCCCAGACCATCAGGGCTACGGCTGACTACTGCCACCGCCACAAGATCGCCTTCCCTGCTGTGGAGGAGGCCATGCTGAAGAAGTGGGCCAAAGCCCCCGACAGCTGCTATGTCCTGAGAGGGGACGCCGGGCCTGTCGTGATGCACTTTCCCCTGTTCAACAAGGACACCTGTGGAGGTGGGTGCATGGGGGGCGGGGTGGGGGCCCCTGCCAGGGCATCTTGGCCATCCTGCCCGCCCTGGGGCCTGTGGAGGGGTCATGGGTGTCTCTACATGTTGCCTCCATAGGCGGTATTCTTGCCCTGCCTGAATCTCCCATGTCTTCCACATCAGGGAATCCCATGGTGCTCACTCATGCTTAGGTGGGCAGCAGCTTGGACGACCCAGCCCCTGGGGTGGGCAGGGGAGTCCACCAGGCCCTGATGGTGACACTCCCCACACCAGCCTGGAAAGGCCTCTTGGCTTGGCTCCTGGCAGGAGACAAACGGGAGAGTAGGGGACAAAGCCCAAGTACCTTCCTCTTCTCAAGTGGGCCTCCCTGCAGGCAGGGGCTATCAGTAACAGAAATACAGAGAAACCCATGATCCAGGGCTGGACAAAGCCAAGTTGTGGGCCCTCTGCGTTTGGTCCTCATCTGTCACGTGCCAGCTCCTGGTGGCAAGCAGACAGGATTCTTTGTCAAAGCCCACGCCAAGCTTCCTTTCTTGGTCTGATCACTTCTCAGATGGAATTCAGGAATTGGTCAGCAAGTACGGCACCATCAAGCTGGCCAACACCTACACCTTGGAGAAGGTGACACAGCTGCTGGAGTTGTCCAAGAAGAACGTGAGACTGAACACAGAGCGTATCCTCCAAGAGATGCAAAAGGCGGCCAGGTAGGGGGCACCTTCTGCCGCACTGACCTGGGCTCCCCAAGGGCCACCACGGTCAGGGAAGCAAAGCCAGGTTTTCCCCACATGAGTTCGCTCCTCGGGGGACACAGGCCACAGGCAGCAAGTGGCTTTCTGAAGAAGAATAAAGCAGAGGGGAGCCATTTGCTGGGACTGCCATTAGCACCATGGGGGCAAGAGGTGCGGAGCCACCAGATAGTCCCCGGCAGTTGGGTGAAAGCAGGCCAGAGGTGAGCAGCCCGCGGACTCGTTTATTTCAGTTGGTGCAGCAGCTTATATAGACAAGGCAGCCAATCCTGTCAAGGGACAGTTTATGCCCTAACCAATCACAGCCTGTTGCCAGGCAGGCTCTGTTGCCAGGTGGGTTTGGAAGCCATTCCTGAGTAACTGACGCTCGCTTGCGAAAGGCCATCTTGATGTGGCCTTCTCATTCCACCACAGTGTGTGGCCACGCTGTGTCAGTGTAGACCATGTAGCTGGGGTGTCTAGAGGGCAAGCTCGCCTAGGATTTCTTTTTTTTAAGATTTTATTTTATTTATTAGAAAGACAAAATGACAGAGACTATGCGAGAGAGAGAGAGAGAGGAGAGAGATCGAGATCTTCCATCTGCTGGTTCACTCCCCAAATGGCCACAACTGCCAGAGCTGGGCCAAGCTAAAAGCCAGGAGCCAAGAGCTTCATCCAGGTCTTCATGCAGGGGCTCAAGGACTTGGGCCATCTTCTACTTATTTCCCAGTCCATAGCAGGGAGCTGGATCGGAAGTGGAGCAGCCAGGACTCCAACCAGTGCCCATATGGGATGCCGGTGTTGCAAGCAGTGGCTTCACCCACTATGCCAGGGTGCCGGCCTCAGCAGTCACCTTTTCAAATGAGCATCTGGATGCCATGTCCCACGCAGTTGTCACATCACCCAGGCAGCAGAGAGTGGAGGTCCAGACTGCAGGGGGAGCTTCAGGCAGGTCGGCACCTCCCCGGCCTCAGATTTGCCATCTGTAAGTGGGCAGGATTTGGGCAGCGCGTCTTCCTGGGCTGGAGATAATGCCCAATGGACACACGAAGCAATAGTCAGTGTTAGCGTTTTCAAGCCTCCTTCCTCAGAGTGCCATGACAGTCACTTGTCTGAGCTGGCCACAGATATTTTGCAGAAGGCCTCACCCAGTTGTGTGGTTGTGAGTGTCCCAAGCCGGCTCCAGGTGAGCTGAACAAAGAATGGAGCTCACTAGAAGGTGATGGACATCGAGGGTGTCAGGGCCACAGAGCAGCAGGAAGCAGCCCTCATCCCTGTGTCCCTCCCATCTCTCCCCATAGCTGCGTTCTGTCCCTGGCTGGTGCGTGCTTGAAGGCCACTGTCCCCAAGTGTAGTCGTAGCCCACCCCCGGGCGATCAGGCTGGTGTCACTGCAGAGGTCCGGTTGTCCCCCCAGGGTCATGAGACACCTCTGGCCCTGTCTTGAAGGAGCCAGGGCTCCCCAGGGCATCTCTCCCTCTGCACTGTTGGCATTTGGAGCAGTGGGGGGAGAAGAGAGAGAGAGAGAGGTCTTCCATCTGCTGGTTCACTCCCCAAATAGCTGCAAAGGCCAGGGCCGGGCCAGGCTGAAGCCAGGAACCAGGAGCTTCCTCCGGGTCTCCCACATGGGAGCAGCCTCAGCTGCTCTCCCAGGCATATTAGCAGCGAGCTGGGTTGGAAGTGGAGCAACCGGGACATGAATCAGTGCCCATATGGGCTGCTGGCATCGCAGGCAACAGCTTTACCCGCTACGCTCAGCGCCAGCCCCAGTGCTGTGCCCGGGTGTTTATCAGCACCCCCAGCCTCCACGCGTCCGGTGACAGCAGTTCAGCAAGGCTCCAGACGCAGCCAGACCAGGCTGTAGGGACCAGGGCTTTGCTGCAGGACTTGTCAGAGCCTTCAACGAGCTAACATGCTTTTTGAAAGAGAGGCGGGGTAAGCAGTGTTTCCCGCTTCTGTCTGACCTCAGCACACTGAGCCTTTCCAAGCAGCTGTGTTGCGTGGAGCCTGGTCCTGGGCTCTGCAGGAGAAGAAGCTAAGGAACTGGGAAAGTGCACGTGGAAAGTTCCAGAAGGGTTGGGCAAAAGAAGCAACCAGGTTGGGTCCGTTGAGAATGTCTTCCCTGGATTTGAATAATCCCCGTTCTGTGACGCTGGGCGCTGAGACTTGAGACAGCGTGCCAGATCCCCTGGCCCCAGTGGCAGTAATGATGGCACGAATGACGAGAGGCAGTCGTGTTGAAGGAAAGCACGTAGGGAAGTGGGTGCCGAGCTCGGGGGTGCTCCCTGCGGGTGCCCTGGGACAGACCTGGCTGATCCTCAACCCTTGGTGCTGTCACAGCAGAGGCCTTGCTGCAGGAATGGGAGGATGGACAGGGTGGGGGTGCGGTGGGGGTATAAGCTGTCGGCACCTGGACAGATGTGAGGCAGGACGCGCTGAGTGGCCGTCCCCGCTGGACCCTTTGCCGACCTGAGTGCGGGCTCCAGAGTAGCTTTTGGGTGAGATTCACGGCCTCCTCTCCCTCCAGTGCCAAGGAGCCCCCGGCAAGGCTCCGGTCTTACTGCATGGAGGGCGTGATGAGGTACCCTTTGGTGAAAGTGGCGGGGGTCATGGTGGAGGACAAGACGGAGGACGTGGTGGAGGACGTGGTAGAGGACGTGGCGGAGGGTGTCACGGGCTCCCGGGCCGTGAGCATCGAGATCACCAACAACACAGACGAGACGTTCACAGACCCCGTGTGAGTACCGTCCCTGTCCCCTTCTCCCCGTGGCGGGAACCCCCACGCTGGGATGAGCAAGGGCCTCAGCCGGTGTCCAGGCTTCCGGTTACCCAGGATGACGGCCTGGCCCCCCACCCAGGGGCCTGCAAGTGGGACACACTCCCTGTGCGACTCCGTCCAGACGCAGGCAAGGCAGAATCACAGCAAGTTCCTGAAAGCCCCCCCTCGCCGGGGACCCAGCCTGCGCTCATCCTCGCCGGTCCCCTCCCTGCAGGGAGTGGCTGCTGCCCGAGGGCTGGGCAGGTCACGTGGCCGGTGTGGGAAGCCTAGGGGTGCCTTCCACAGCCTCCACATGAGCCCTTGCTCCCAGGCACCACACCTGCTCCGCTCGCTGTCTGGCTTCTCAGTGAGCAGGCTGGGTAGATGCCCTGCAGCCTATCGGGTTGTCAAGTGGAGGAGAGAGAAAGCCACTCTGGGCCCTGCAGCTGGCCGTGTCCCCAAGCCCATATCTCCAGAGCCGTCCCCGGGACGGGGGTGGGGAGGTCATCTGCCGGCCACCAGTCTGCTACTTAGGGACCCACATTCCTTGCTAGGGATGCCGTAAGACACCGTGGTCTGGGGTCGAGACCAGACCCAGGTGTCCCCGAGGCCCTGCTCCTCGGCCTCTGCGTCCTCACGAGGTCTCCCTGTGCGCATGTCTGGGTCCCGGTCTCCTCCCCTCCACACTGGCTCAGGGCCCAGCCTGGAGACCGCATTGTAGCTGAGTGGCCTCTCAAAGCCTCAGTGTAAACCGGACGCTGGGTGTTGGAGCTTCTGCGCGGAAGCTGCAGGAAGGGGACTCGTGTTCCTTGCACACGCAGCCCTCTGGGCCACGGCTCCGAGAGCAGCAGGGCAGCGGGCGACTGGGTGCGGCCCGAACCCGGAACTCGTCCTGTACCCGAGCCCTGCCGACACATGGCACGTGACATGTGCCCCCTTCCTGTGCACGCGTTTTTGCCCGGTTAAGGAAGACAAACCCAGGGCTCCCTGGGGCTCTGCCGTGGACTCCACCCTCCCGGGTGCTGTCCGTGCACCTGCACGCCTGGCGTCTCCCGGGGTGCTGCAGGTGCAGCAGGCCAGTCGGGCGAGGCACGGGTTCTCGTGCCGCTTGCATCTTCCTGGCCGGAAATGTGACGCCAACAGCTGAGCCAAGGAGTCAGCCACAGAGTCAGGCAAAGGGCAGAGTGCCTTAGAGATGACGAAGTGCATGCTGGGGGCACCATAGGAACGGGGGGTCTGGGGAGGCATCAGGAGGAAGGGCTCTGCCAGGACTGGATGATGGGGGCAGGGGAGAACTGAGAAAGCAAGTGCAAAGGCCCTGGGGTAGAAATGACCTGGGTCTACACTAGGAACAGGAAAAAGGCGGTTATTGCTGGGTCGGTGTCAGGGTGGGCAGGCAGGGAGTGAGTGGGTTGGAGGAGGGGCTGAATTCTCGATCTCATGATACTTGATGCAGGCGGAAGAGTTGGTTCCTAGCCTGGTTCCTAGGGGCGGAGAAACACGTGCACGCTGCCCAGGAAGTGGAGGAGCTGGGGTGGGCGCCCGGTACTCTCCACAGAGGACAGACCATCTCTCCCCCGAGCCGCAGGCGCTCTGGAGAGGCGTCTGACTCCTCTGGGCTTGTCCAGTGTGCGGCCAGAGTGACTTCCACCTCCCGCTGTCCTCCCAGGTTCTACTGCCAGAGCGGCCACGCCCGGGAGGCCCCACCCCCCGTGCTGGCTCCCAAGCACACCATCAGCTGCTCCTTCACGAAGGCGAGCGCCAGCTTCCAGGGCAGCGTGGGCCTGCTGGTCTACCAGGGCAGGGCTGCCCACCTGGCCCTCCTGTTCTCCGTTCCCTTCAGCTACGCCCTGCACAGCATTGAGTTTGCCGTGGCCGTCCTGGCCGGGCCGGTCTCCACCGCCTCTCTGGAGCACATGTTCCACAGCATCATGCAGGGAACGTCCCCGGAGCTGAAGGTGGCCAGATGCGCCCTGAAGACCCCCCAGAACACCCTGCAGCTGGAGCACGACTCCCTGACCCTCAGGGCCGTCGTCTCCAACGTCCGCACAGCCAGAATGAAAGTGGTGGTGGAGCGCAAGGCTTGCCCTGCACACCCACTCACACCACAGTCCTAGCCACATAAGCAGCATGGCAGGAGCACGCTGTGTTGGTCTCTCGGAAGCCAAGGGAGGCTCTGAGAACACGATGGGTGCTCAGTTAGCGCTTGCTGACCAGCTCAGTGATGGACTGGGCGAGTTTGTCTCAGTCTGCCCGCCCTGCCAGCCGCCGCCCATGTCCCCCTGCGCTCTGCGGGCACCTCTGGCCCTTCGCTTCCCACCGCTCTCCCGCCCTTTGCTCCCTGCCTCCATGCGTCCTCCCCGCCACCTTTCCCAGCCCCGGCCTCTGCTGCCCTCCCCCGCTCTGCTCTTCCATCCGCCTTTCCTTCCGTCCTCTTCGGCGTGGAGCTTGGGACTGAGCTGAGGGCACCAGCTTCCCGCAAGCTCCCCAGGCCCATCATGTGGAGGACAGGTCATCGCACCATGGTGCCTGTGTCCCTGGGACGCCTGCCCGAGTGTCAAGGCCTTAGAGCCGTGCCTGGCGCGATCCGTACAGCAGCTATTCAAAACTTAAAGTGGCCTGGCGCTGTGGCGTAGTGGGTAAAGCCACCCCCTGCAGCACCGGCATCCCATATGGGTGCCGGTTCTAGTCCTGGCTGCTCCACTTCCGACCCAGCTCTCTGCTATGGCCTGGGAAAGCAGTAGAAGATGGCCCAAGTCCTTGGGGCCCTGCACCCACATGGGAGACCTGGAAGAAGCTCCTGGCTCCTGGCTTTGGATGGGCCCAGCTCCGGCCATTGGTGGGGTGAACCAGCGGATGGAAGATCCCCCTCCCTCTCTCTCTCTGCATCTGCTTCTCTGTAACTCTGCCTTTCAAATAAATGAATTTTTAAAACAAAATAAAGTGGTTGGATGGTGTCCTCCAACACACGTTGACGTGGGAACCCCAATGCGTGTGAGTGTGGCCGTCCACACGTGAGCAGTTATGGTGAAATCATCAGAGTGGTCCCAGTCCGCTGTGGGGGGCATCCTTACAGAAACGGAGGTGTGGACACAGAGACGGACACGCACACAGGAGGAGCGCCGCGTGACTGCCCCGTCACTACTGCGATGCTGCATCCCCAAGCCATGGAGCCCCCACGGTTGCCAGCAGACCACCAGCCGTCCCACTCTGCCCCGCGGGAACTCAGAAGTCCCTGTCGCCTTTGGCCGCGTCTCCCCAGTCTCTTCCAGCTCGAATAGTTCCTCAACCTTTCCTTGACTTTTGTGACCTTGATATCTGCGGAGCTAACCGGCCAGCTACTTTGCAGATCCTGCTTCCAATCCGGCCTCTCCGAAGTCGTCTTAGTATCACAAAAGCAGTGCCATGTTCTTGTCATGCTCTATGGGGCAGGGCCAAATTTTGACTTGCCACATAACTGACAAAGTTTATTTTAATCATTTGAGATGATATCTACCAGATTTTCCCACCATAAAACGATTCTTTCCTTTGATAGGGAGATACTTTGAGGCATGCAATATAGGAGCTTCTTGTGCCCCTCGCTATCATCCGTAATTTGTTATTCTCATTATTCATTTTCATTCTCCAATTCCCCAATGTGGCCAGTGGAGCTTCTCCAAGCCCCTCTGGATCCCCTGTAACTCTGAGCAATGCCTGTCCACTTCCTGGTCTACACGGAGAATCGGCCGTTCTGGTAGGAACCCTGGCTCGTTTCAGTGGAAGACAGTGTTTAGAAGTCCGGATCTGGCCAGTGGCACTCTCGATGGGGGATGTCACTGCTTGCCCGTCTTCCTAGTGAGAAAACTAGAAAATAACAGGGACGCCCTCCCCGCAGCTCTGAGGCTCCTGTTATGTCACTGCACTCTGAGGTCTCAGTACAAACCAGCGCCTGCCACGCCAGTATTCCACGAACTTCCCTTCCTGTATTAATAGCTCCCCTTTCTGATGCTGGGAGACCCACTTCCTGTTTCCCTTGGTAGATTCTCCGTGTATAACCAAGTCTCCCTCCCCATTGTCACCTCACGCCTGTGGGCTTCTCAGTCTCCTCGGGCTTCCGCGGCCAGCACCACGCAGCCTCGGTGAGCGGACACCCTGCTCCCTCTGCCTGGGTTGTGACATCGCGCGCCAGGTCCCCCATGTGTGGGCTCCTTCCTGGCCCACTTGCAGAACAAACCCCGACTTGGGATGATGTCTGTGTTTAGCTGCCCTCATGCTCACGCTCCAGTGTGCCACACCAAGATGCCCCTGCGTGGGTTCATCCCTGCTTCTGAGCCCCCTCCATGGGGACTCCCCTGTACCCCACTGGAATTCTTTCTCCCTTGGCCCCTCCACAAGTGGGCGTCCCCATCACCCCTTTGGGTCCTGACATGACCATCCCTTCACACCCTTCCCCTCCCCCGCCCCGATAATTCAGGAAGAATGGAAGGCTTGGGGTGACCATACTCTTCCCCCTCCCCGTGCACACCCACTTCCTGAAGCTCTGCTGGCCCCTCTTGCACCCTGCTGCTTTGTACCCATCCCTGACCTACTCAGAAATGCACCTTGAGACCAGGGACCACGTCCCCGCCGTCCTTCACTGCCCCAAAGCCAGGCTTAGAGCTAGCTAGAAATGCGAGCTGGAGTGCTGAGGGCACGGCTGCCCTCTGCTCTAATCCCCACTTTCAAACCACGCTTTCCAATTCCATTCTGGGGATAAAAGTGTCTCAGAGCCTGAGACTGGCTTTCCCCGCCCTTCCCCAGCCAGATGGGGAGGCAGGAGCTGCTCCGATCCCTCCCCGGTTCAAGCAGAGGTTTCTGCTCCAGCTGTCACAAGTCCGAGACACAGGACCGCGGTGGAGGCCAAGAGAGGCAAGCAACACTGGCACAGCAGTGATTGAGAAGATAAGGAGGCTGATCCACCGAGGGCGAGCCGGAAGGCGGGGGCCCAACTTGAGATCAGTGCTGGGTGAGCTCTGTCCTGCCCCCTCCATGCAGTTCCCCATGGGCCCCGCCTGCATCTTCTTGAGGAAGGGCATCGCTGAGAAACAGCGGGTGAGGCGCGGGACGACGGGGAAGGGTGGCGGGCCGGCCAAGGGAGCCGGGACGTGGCCCCAAGGAGCCAGGATGGAAAGAAGGGACAGACGGAGACAGCGTGACCTGAGGAGGTGGAAGAATTCAAGGGGACAGGGTGGGATATGAGGACTGATGAGATAAAGGGCTGAGGGCAGGGGGAAAGGGGAGAGAACAGAAGTCAAAGGGGGAAGCGGGATGATGTCATCATTGAGATCATTAGCATTCTGTTCTGTGGACACTCGTAGTGGTGATGGTGGTCATGGTGATGGTGGTCATGGTGATGCTGGTGGTGGTGATGCTGATGGTGGTCATGGTGATGGTGGTGGCCATGGTGATGGTGGTCGTGGTGATGGTGGTCATGGTGATGCTGATGGTGATGGTGGTCATGGTGATGAGGGTGGTGATGAGAGTGATGGTGATGAGGGTGGTGATGGTGATGGTGGTCATGGTGATGGTGATGGTGGTCTGGGTGGCCATGGTGATAGTGGTGATGGTGATGAGGGGTGATGGTGGTCATGGTGATGGCGATGATGGTGGTCATGGTGATGGTGGTCATGGTGATGATGACGGTGATGTTAATGGTGATAATGATGTGATGGTGATGGTGATGATGGTGGTCGTGGTGATGGTGGCCATGGTGATGGTGGTCATGGTGATGATGACGGTGATGTTAATGGTGATTATGATGGTGATGGTGGTGATGATGACAGTAGCTGCCACTCATTATTAAGGGGCTGCTGTTTGCCCAGCCTTATGCATATGGATTTAAACGCCCTGGTGGCATTTACCCCTGAGAACTCATGAGGTCAGTGGTTCTTGCATTCCGTTTTACAGGTAAGGAAAATGAAGCTTTGAGTCAGGAAGTCCTTGACACAGTTAGCAAGCAGCAGGGTCAAGTTGATTTGATTCCTATGGGCATGCTTCAGTTGTTGGACTTCAAGACTGAGGGGAGAGAGAGGAGAAAGGAACACAGGAAGGAGGAAGGAGGGAGGGAGAAGGATTGCACGGAGGGCATGGTCAGAGAGAAGCTGGAGGAAGGGCACTGAGGATAAAGGGCGTTGAGGCACCAGAAGAGGCCAGTGGTCCTAGACTTTCCAGGTGGGTGCCATGGGTCCACGCCCGACCCTTCAGGCAAGTCCAGGACGGGGCAGGGCAGCAAGGATTGGACATTCTCAGAGGTTTAGGAGTTGGCTGTGCTGGTGCTGATGACCCTGCCTAATGCCGGTGAACACCGGTCCCATGGGAAGGGATTGTAGCCCTCGGGAGGAAGGATGGATGCGGCCGGGAGAAGAGGCCGTGGGCTGTAGTGGAAAGAACTCTGACTTACAAGTCCAGAGCTCTCACGTCCTGGGGCCACAGCTGAGTTTCCACAAAACCAGGGAGCAGTTTCTCTCTCCCGTGAGAGGGGACCCATTACTTAGGAGCTGTGTGGCCTTGGGCGACTTCCTTCACCTCCCTGTCCTCCGGCATCCTCACGGCTAAGATGGGAGTGGTATCTGGACCTACCTCACCAAGCAGTCCTGAGATGCTAAGACGTGGCTGGGGAGCAGAGCCTGGCAGAGCCTAGCACTCTGAAAGTGCTAGAGGGGACAGAACACTTCCCTCTCTTTGTAGAACAAGTGATTTGGTCTCCAAGCTGTCCACAGAGCAAGGAACGTCGGGGCGAGGCTGGAGGGAGGAGGATACCAGAAGTGGAAGATGGGAAAGAGGAAATTGGGGGAAAGGCGGGGAGCGAAGGGCGGTGGCGGCGGGAGCTGGGAGATCGGAGGAGGCAGACGAGGGACGGGGAGGAGGGAAAGCAGGAAGAGGCAGAAGGAGGCGTGGCTTGGGGGACAGGGGATATGTCTGGAGAGATGGATGCTGGGTTCGTGACCCTCTCTCCCAATTCCCTCCACCCCATCCCTTCCTTTCCAGGAGAGACCACTGGGACAGGATGAGATCGAAGGTAACACTCCCCCCGCCCAGCCCCATTGCCTCCCACTGCCTCTGCTCCCTGAGCCACTCTGGGTCCCTTTGTGCACTTCCGTGTTAATCCCTTCTCTTTTACACCTCTCTCGTCCAACACAGCCCTAATAAAAAAAAAAAAAACTGTTTCTCGTGGAAGTGTATCCCCCAAAGTATTTGGAAGACGAATCCATCCCCAAGTGTCTCAGAGACTCAGGAGTTTTAGCATGAACTGGAAACGGTTGGGTTTTTTCTTGTGGTTTCAAGGCTCCCCATAACCTGTCTCAGGAGCCTGAAGGGCCTTCAGGCTGCCATTTAGCATCAGAGGGATTATCCCCCTTGCAAACATGTTTCACTCATCACTGCTTGCTAGACTCTTCAGCTTTTTAAAATGTATTCTCCCTCAAAGAGCCGCTAATCAGTGCTTCATTGGTAGTTTCAATGGCTGCCTCTCTTCCTCATTGACTGTTTCAAGTTCCCCCAGAGGCCCTCTCCTCTCTTAACTTTCAGAGCTCCGGGAAGCATTTCTCGAGTTTGACAAGGACCGAGACGGGTTCATCTCTTACAAGGACCTGGGGAATCTCATGAGGACAATGGGTTACATGCCCACAGAGATGGAGCTGACGGAGCTGGGCCAGCAGATCCGCATGAACTGTAAGGGGGTGGGGTGGGAGGCATGGCTGGCAGAGAGGCTGGGGAGGCTGGGGGAGGGTATGGAGGCTGACGCAGAGTTGGAGATACAAGGGGAGAAAGACCCCAAGGCTGGAAGAGACAGTTCTTGTACACTTGGGGAAACAGCAGGCAGCATAGGAAGTAGCTCAAGGGGTGACTTTCAGAGGTAAGTCTGGGTTCAAGTCCGCCTTCTGTTAGTTACTCCGCGTGGCCATGGCGAGTCACGTGGAGGCAGCAGGGTGAACATGCTCCCTCCCTGGCTCGTGGGAAAGTGGAGAGGAAGGGCCAACGTCGCTAACGCAGGCGAAGGCTCAGCCGCCAGTAGGTTCTGATCAAATGCCGGTTATCCTAGCACTGCAAGGGTTCGTCCGGGGAGCACAAGACTGGAGCTGTAGTGGGCGTTAGAAGGAAGCTTGGCACTGGACTTGCTGCTGGTGAACAGCGTTGCAGAAAGGGTGGTTTGTAGATGGAGAGCAGAGCGAGGACAAAGCTGGCATACGACTGGGGTTGGACTCCTCGTAACTGAGGGACCAAGGTTGAGTTCAAGGCGACCGCGTCTGCGGGTCTCGCACCCGTGGAGTCAGCCAGCCGCGGGTGGGAAACGTTCGGAAGCAAAGTGGCTTTTGATGTGCAGGATCTGTTTTCCTACTGTTCTCTAAACAACACAACACAGCAACACTGCTCAGCTAAGGGGCTGTGAGAGGTCTGGGGGTGACCTAAGGCTTGGGAGGGCACACGTGGGTTCCGCAGATACCACAGCACGGCACACCAGGGACCTCAGCAGGTGCGGATTTGGGTATCTGCGGAGAAGTCTTGGAACCACCACACCCCAAGACAGACACCGAGGGACGACTGTGCCCGTGTCTGGGAGAGCCTCCAGTGCTCCTTTTTTTTTATTTTATTTGTTTTATTTTTGACAGGCAGAGTGGACAGTGAGAGAGACAGAGAGAAAGGTCTTACTTTTTGCCGTTGGTTCACCCTCCAATGGCCGCTGCAGCCGGCACACCGTGCTGATCTGAAGGCAGGAGCCAGGTGCTTATCCTGGTCTCCCATGGGGTGCAGGACCCAAGTACTTGGGCCATCCTCCACTGCACTCCCGGGCCATAGCAGAGAGCTGGCCTGGAAGAGGGGCAACCAGGACAGAATCCGGCGCCCCAACAGGGACTAGAACCCGGGGTGCCAGCACCGCAAGGCAGAAGATTAGCCTAGTGAGCCGCAGCGCTGGCCTTCCAGTGCTCCTTTAACTGAGTGTGACTCTCAGCCAGTGAGAGCTTGGTTGGATAGGGGCTTTGTGTGGCGGCTGAGACGTGGCTTGCGGTGTCCGCATTCCATACTGGAGCGCCGGGGCTCAAGCCCCACCTCTGCTCCCGCCTGCAGCCTCCAGTCAATGCCCGGGGAGGTGGCGATGAAAGCCCAGGAAGCCGGGTCTCTGTCTCCCACGTGGGACACCGCTTTGCGTTCCCACCTCCCATTTCTGGCCTGGCCCAACCCCAGCTGGTGTGGGCCTTTGGGGAGAAAACCAGTGTACGGATGGGTAGTAGGTCAGTCGCTGGCTCGCTCACTTGTTCTCACTCTGTTCCATGCTGTCTCCCTTTCCCGTTCAAATAAAAATACTTCTTTAAAGAGAGCCAGCTACTTCCTGCATAGCACATCAGGTCCCCACTGGCTCAGATTAAAGGCACAGGAGGGCATGAGTTGGCTAAGTAGAAGGGGGTCAAAGGTTAAAAGCAGGGCAATGGAGACCAATAGATTTCTGGAACTGAGGCATTGGAGGGAGGGGGCATGTGTCACTGACCCCACCTCCTCCGTTCCCAGTGGGCGGGGATGGGAAGGGTCACTGACCCCATCTCCTCTCTCCCCCACAGTGGGCGGGGCGTGGGAAGCGTCACTGACTCCACCTGCTCCATCCACAGTGGGCGGGGCGTATTAAGCACCACTGACCCCACCTCCTCTGTCCCCAGTGGGCGGCCGTGTAGACTTTGAGGACTTCGTGGAGCTGATGACCCCCAAATTGCTTGCAGAGACCGCCGGGATGATTGGCGTCCAGGAGATGCGAGACGCCTTCAAGGAGGTGAGCAGAGATCCCGCCGTCGGCCATTCCCATGGACAGGACTTGCTTTCCAGCTGTGGCGGGATCGGTGGGGAAGGCAGTAACATCCTCCAGACACTCCAACAGCTGCGTGTTCTGTCTGACTGAACCCTCACCAGTAACGGTAGGAGTTCACGGTCACGTCTCCCTGCCATGCCAGTGAGGGAAACTGAGGCCTCAGGGGTTCCAGGGCTTCCCCGAGTCCCTGCGTCCTCCAAAGCGGGTGGCCGGGTGTCTAATGTGAGTGCTCCTGATAGGAGGGCAAGTCCAAGCATATGAGGGTCCCTGGAGGGAACTCGAAGGAGACCGCCTCGTTGGAGCCTCTTGCCATAGGGATGCTGACAGCAGGAGCTGGGTAGGGAGGGGGGTTGCCTCGATCCCTGACCAAGTCCTGCCCCCGGCCAGAGCCAAAATACAGAACAGAACCCAGCTTGGGCGCGAGGTCTCTGGAGCCGGGCACACGTAGGCTGAGACCCTGGGAGAGGTCCGCCCTGGGCGTGCAGATCCACAGCCGCGCCACCCTGCAGCACTTTCTGTGACCTGGGAAATGCTGGGTCCACGACAGCAGCCACGGCCGGCCGCGCGTGGCCACTGAGCCCCGCAGACGCGGCTGTAACTCGTTTCAGTGGATTTCAGTTACTTGTTTAATTTCCATGAATATCCCGCTGACCACACTCCTCTGTCCAAGTGTTCAAATGCAAATGAATGGTTGATTCGATTTGTAGGAAACTTTCATTTGAGACAACTCGGGTATTCGAATCCACCCTTTCAACTGGGAATTTCAGTTGAAATTCAGATCAAGCATTTCTTTTATAAAAATTATTCATTTGTTTATTTGAAAGGCAGAGTTACAGAGGCAGAGGGAGAGACAGAGATCTTCCATCCGCTGGTCCACTTGCCAAAGAGCCACAATAACCAGGACTGGGCCAGGCCAAAAGCAGGAGCCTGGAACTCCATCCGGGTCTCCCACGTGGGTGCAGGGGCCCGAGCACTTGGGCCATCCTCGGCTGCTTTCCCAGGTCATAGCAGGGAGCTGGATCGGAAGTGGAGCAGCCAGGACTCGAACTGATGCTCCTATGGAATGCTGGCATCACAGGCAGCGGGTTTAACCCTTTGTTCCTTGGTGCTGGCTCATCGGATCAAGCATTTCTGATCAAAATTTAGTGTCCACATTGACAAGTGCTGGACTAAGATTTAGTCCACTTAGCATAAGTGTATTTGTCAACTTAAGTGTGTTTCCTTGCTACGTGTGAGAGCTAAGTAGGCTAAGTACATGGGAACTGCTTACTGTGCTAAGGGTTATGAAATCCAGTGTGCATAATAAATAAATAAGTCATTAATTATTTTTAAATTCATTGCATTCTGAAATGATACATTTGGCTACATTGGGTAAAATAAAATCAATTATGAGAAGCTAATCTGAGAGCGGGCCTTTGGCCTACGCTAACACACAAGTTGGGACAATCACATCCCATAGTAGAGTGCCTGGGGTTCGAGTCCCAGCTCCGCTCCTGCTTCCAGCTTCCTGTGAACTCAGACCCTGACAGGCACTGGGCCCCTGCCACCCACATGGCACACTCGAACTGAGTGCCACCTTCTGGCTTTGGCCTGGCCTAGCCCCGAGTGTAGTAGTAGGCGTTGCACACGAGAGACTTCTCAGCTTGTCTGTCTGTCTGTCTCCCTCCCTCTACTTGCCTTTGAGTAGCAGAGGGCAGGACCCCTTCCCGAAGGCACTGGTGTTGGGGAACAGGGTTGGGATTTTGGCCCGAGCAGGATAGGGATTCTTTTTTAAATATTTATTTATTTATTTGAAAGAGTTACACAGAGAGGAGAGAGAGAGAGAGAGAGGTCTTCCATCTGCTGCTTCACTCCCCAATTGGCCACAACAGCCGGAGCTGCACCGATCCGAAGCCAGGAGCCAGCAGCTTCCTCTAGGTCTCCCACATGGGTGCAGGGCCCCAGGGACTTGGGCCATCTTCTACTGCTTTCCCAGGCCACAGCAGAGAGCTGGATCAGAAGTGGAGCAGCCGGGCCTCGAACTGGTGCCCACATGGGATGCTGGCGCCTTAGGCAGTGTCTTTACCCCCTATACCACAGTGTCAGCCCCAAGAATTCCTTCTCTTAAAGCTGCATAATATACCGTTGTATGTATACACTACACAGAAGGAGACATGTTGCGTGATCCCACTTAAGTAAAATTTCTAAAGTTATCCAAACTCACAGAAGCAGAGCAAAGGGAGAAGGCTAAGTAGGAAGTTATCATCCAAAGAGAATGCAGTTATGCAAAATGTCTCAGTTCCAGAGATCCACTGTACAGCACTGTGCCTTTAAAATTTTGTTAAAGGGGCTGGCCTTGCAACACCAGCATCCCATATTGAAATGCCAGTTTGAGGCCTGGCTGCTCTGCTTCTGATCCAGCTCCCTGCTAAAGCACCTGGGAAGGCAGCCGGGGAAGACCGGAGTGCTAGGGCCCCTGCACCCATGTGGGAGACCGGATGGAGCTCCAAGCTTCAGCCTGACCCAGCCCTGGCTGTTGTTGCCATTTGCAGAGTAAACCAGCAGATAGAAGATTCTCTCTCTCTCTCTCTCTCTCTCTCTCTCTCTCTCTCTCTCTCTCTCTGTCAAATACACACATCTTAAAACACATGAGACCTAGAAACGTGGTTCAGAAGGCAGATCTCCCGTTACTGTTCCAACCCCACTCACACACAAACTCCTAAGGGGCTCAGGGGACCCGTGGGGGCGGTGGCTGTAGTTATTCCGCTTGTGCTTCTCAGTATACAAATGTCCAAATTCGCCAAACCATTCAGTTCAGATACGAGGGGACCCCAAAAGGCTCATGCAACATAGCATTCGAAAATAAGTTGATTTGGGTGCAAAACATACCTGAAACCCACTCATCGTGTTTTCCATAATACATATTTTCCATGTACTTCTCCAAGATCCCCCCGGTCTACCTGCAGCTTTTAGCCTATCAATTATACCTCGGTAAAGCTGTTTAAAACAAAATGCAGACATGAAAATTACACACAAAAGACCCATCCCCGCAGAGCCTTCGTGCAGGTGGGCAACGTCCCCAGGGCTTGGGGTGCTCACCGGCACTGGGGACCCAGGACGCTGGCTGTCGTCTCCAGTGCCACCAGCAGGGCCCCTTCTGCTCCTGTCCAGTTCGATGCCAACGGGGACGGGGAGATCACGCTGGGGGAGCTGCAGCAGGCCATGCAGCGGCTGCTGGGCGAGAAGCTCACGCCCCACGAGATCGCCGAGGTCGTCCGGGAGGCCGACGTGAACGGGGACGGCACCGTGGACTTTGAAGGTGATGGGGGGAGGGAAGGCCACACTCATCTCCAAGTTCAAATGTGAGCAAAAGGCTGGGGGAGGGGGGGAGTGGAGGGGTCTTGACCTCAAAACCCGGGTGAGGTCAGCAAGTTCACCCGGCACAGACTGTGTCCTGATGAGGTCAGGGGCAGGACCCGCCACTGACCGGCCCCGGCACTCAGGTGCACCTGTTCCCTCGCTGTCATCAGCTGCTTCATCTGACCCCTCCGGGATGGCGGAAAAGATGAGATACTTGCAATGCCCGTTTGTGGGGGACACTTGGGGTGTCTTCACGTGCACTGTCATTGAACCCTCTGAAAACCCGCCCGCGAGTAACAGTCCTGTGGTTCCCATTTTACAGACAAGGAAACTGAGGCTTGGAGGGACCGGGTGATTTCCCAAAGATCTCAGTGGCGCCTGAGCACAGGAAAGGCTTGGGAAACTAGAGCCCGCTGGCCGGTGCTACGGCTCACTAGGCTAATCCTCTGCCTTGCGGCGCCGGCACACCGGGTTCTAGTCCCGGTCGGGACGCTGGATTCTGTCCCGGTTGCCCCTCTTCCAGGCCAGCCCTCTGCTGTGGCCAGGGAGTGCAGTGGAGGATGGCCCAGGTGCTTGGGCCCTGCACCCCATGGGAGACCAGGAGAAGCACCTGGCTCCTGCCATCGGATCAGCGCAGCGCGCCGGCCACGGCGGCCATTGGAGGGTGAACCAATGGCAAAGGAAGACCTTTCTCTCTGTCTCTCTCTCTCACTGTCCACTCTGCCTGTCAAAAAAAAAAAGAAAGAAAGAAACTAGAGCCCGCTGTTGTCACCAAGAGCTGACTCACGGGGGGCCTTTCCTTTGCAGAGTTTGTGAAGATGATGTCTCGTTGAGACGCTCCTGGAACTTTCCAGACACGTTCCACCCGGTCAGTGTGGAGCAAGCCCTGGCGGAGGATGGACTCTCACAGGAGGGAGGTGGGGGGAGGGGAGCAGCATGGACGGGGCTGGGGCTGGAATCAGAGCCCTGCCTGGTGCAGGCGGGGAGCGTCTATAAAGAAGGGAGAGGCCCAGGGACCCCAGAAAAAACTCATCAAAAGTCAATGGAGAGCAAGCTTTCTTTTGGTGCAATTGAGAATAATTAAAAAAAAAAATTTGAAACGCAGGCTATGTGTGAAGCGCCCACGAGTGTGCAGGTGAGTGGGCTCCCGGCCCTCTGAGCCCTGGAGAAGAATCTGTGAGAGGCAGCACCGGCCGCCGGCTTCCCCTCATTTGCTGACTCCCGGGCGCGGCCTGCGTCTTTGCTCCCCGGCCTCCCCGTGTCCCTCTCCCGGGGAACGACCTCGGGGCACTGAGGCAGATCGCAAATCTGGATTATGAAGGTTTAGAGCATGCTGATCCCCGGAAGATTAATCCTCCTCCCCCCAAAATATATATGATGCAGAGAGAGAGAGAGTGACCAGGACCCCCCCCATACACACCCCGCCCCCAGTCCCCAGCTCAGCCAGGCGACCACAAAGCCACCCCTGGAAGCCCCCCCACGGGCCTCGCCCACACCTGGAAGTCCCTGGCCCCGCCCACCCCCTGGAAGCCCCCCGGCCTCGCCCACCCCTGGAAGCCCGTGTCGCCCGGAAGTCCATGAAGCGGATGCCCAGGTGCGTGGTCTGATTCAGCAGCCTCGGCGGACGCGGTTAACCCCGAGAGACGGGCAAGGTCCCCCCCTGCCTCCTGCACCTGCTCCTGGCTCACATCCTCACCTGCAGCCTATGATGTGCAAAGCCTGCTTCCAAGCATGGAGCTACAGTGCCGCGTAAAACAGACAAAAACGGGACCCGCATAGTAAGTTAGGCCTCCACCTGTGGTGTCGGCATCCCCTATGGGTGCCAGTTCGAGTCCCAGCTGCTCCACTTCTGATCCAGCTCTCTGCTGTGGCCTGGGAAAGTAGTGGAAGATGGCCCAGGTCCTTGGGCCCCTGCACCCGCATGGGAGACCCAGAAGAAGCTCCTGGCTTCAATCTGGCCATTGTGGCCACTGGAGGAGTGAACCAGCGCGTGGAAGGAAGATCTCTCTCTCTCTCTCTCCCTGTCTGTAGCTCTGCCTCTCAAATGAATAAATAATATCTTAAAAAAAAAAAAAAAAAGAGGCCGGCGCCACGGCTCACTAGGCTAATCCTCCGCCTTGCAGCGCCAGGTTCTAGTCCCCGTCGGGGTGCCGGATTCTGTCCCGGTTGCCCCTCTTCCAGGCCAGCTCTCTGCTGTGGCCCGGGAGTGCAGTGGAGGATGGCCCAAGTGCTTGGGCCCTGCACCCGCATGGGAGACCAGGAGAAGCACCTGGCTCCTGGCTCCTGCCATCGGATCAGCATGGTGTGCCGGCCACAGCGCGCCAGCTGCGGCGGCCATTGGAGAGTGAACCAACGGCAAAGGAAGACCTTTCTCTCTGTCTCTCTCTCTCACTATCCACTCTGCCTGTCAAAAAAAAAAAAAAAGACAAAAACTCTAGACTTAACCAGCTCCGTAGCAAGAGAAGGAACTCTGATAGGGTGTTAGATGGCGGTGCTAGCTGTGGAGAAAAGTGGTTCAGAGATGGCGTGGAGTGAACCAGTGGATGGAAGTTTTGCTCGCTCTCTCGCTAGCTCGCTCTCAGTTTTCTGCCTCTCGAATAAGTAACCAAATTTAAAATATAAATAAATAAAGTAACATATATTCAATTACTTAATTTGTCCAAAACAAGCCTGTGGTAGAACTGCCCCCCTTCCCCCGTGGGCTGGGACCCTATCCGGGCGCACACGCTGTTGGCGTGGTCTCGGGGGCTGATGTGTTCCCAGGGCAGGGGGAGGTGTCCGCAGTCACGTTTAGCTCTCGGACCAAAGGCAGGGGCTGGGAGCACCTGCCTCCGCGGCTTCTCAGCGGCTGTTGGTTGGTAGCTGCGACACCCCCACTCCTCACCTCCTTATGACATTGCATTTCCATCCTACACTTCGGTTAGGCAGTGGAGTGGAAACAGGTGATATCATTTGTGACTTGCATCTGGGGGATGGCCAAAGGGATGTCATCGGACATCTATGAGAAGCCGGGGAGTGTATCTGATCTACAATACCCAAGGAAAGCAAGCCCCAGACAGTCACAAGCTGGGTGTCAACAGTGTCCCACACTGGGAAACTGGTTAAAACAAATTAAATGGGGGCTGGCGCTGTGGCATAGTGGGTCAAAGCCCAGTCTGCAGTGCAGGCATCCCATATAGGTGCCTGTTCGAGTCCCGGCTGCTCCACTTCCAGTCCAGCTCTCTGCTATGGCCTGGGAAAGCAGTGGAAGATGGCCCAAGTGCTTGGGCTCCTGCACCTGCATGAAAGACCTGAAGGAGGCTCCAGGCTCCTGGCTTCAAACCAGCTCAGCTCTGGCCATTGCGATCATTTGGGGAGTGAACCAGGGGATGGAAGACTTCTGTCTCTCTGGCTCTACCTCTTTCTCTGTAACTCTTTCAAATAAATAAAAGAAATCTTAAAAAAAAATTAAATGGTATTTTGCCTCTGTGCATGGAAAAAAGAAAACCACAAAATCATATAATTGTCAAAAATGCTTTGGGCTTTGAAAAAATGAATAGAATCTCTCAAATTCCTTTCCTTTTTTAAAGGTTTATTTATTTGAAAGAGTTACAGAGGGAGGAGGAAACAGAGAGAAAAATCTTCCATCCACTGGTTCACTCCCCAAATGGCCTCAATGGCCAGAGCTGGACCAGGTAGAAGCTCGGAGCCAGAAGCTGCATCCGGGTCTCCCAGGTGGGTGCAGGGACCTAAGCACTTGGGCCAACTGCTGCTTCTTTCCCAGGTACATTAGTAGGGAGCTGGATCAGATGTGGAGCAGCCAGGCAAGCGCCGCAGCTCACTAGGCTAATCCTCCCCCTGCAGCGCTGGCACACCGGGTTCTAGTCCCGGTTGGGGCGCTAGATTCTGTCCCGGTTGCCCCTCTTCCAGGCCAGCTCTCTGCTGTGGCCAGGGAGTGCAGTGGAGGATGGTCCAAGTGCTTGGGCCCTGCACCCCATGGGAGACCAGGAAAAGCACCTGGCTCCTGGCTTCAATCAGCACGATGCTGATCCGAATGGCGCGCCGACCACGGCAGCCATTGGAGGGTGAACCAATGACAAAAAAGGAAGACCTTTCTCTCTGTCTCTCTCTCTCTCTCTCTCTCACTGTCCACTCTGCCTGTCAAAAAAAAAAAAAAAAAAAAAAAAAAAAGAAGAAGAAGTGGAGCAGCCAGGACTCGAACGGGTGTCCATATGGGATGTCGGCATCACAGGCGGTGGCTTCACCTGCTGCACACGATGCCAGCCCCAAGTCCATTTTCATCTATACTTTGTGGTTTTTTCCTCCTTTTTTTTTTTTTTTTTTTTTTTTTTTTTTACAGGCAGAGTGGTCAGTGAGAGAGAGACAGAGAGAAAGGTCTTCCTTTGCCGTTGGTTCACCCTCCAATGGCTGCTGCAACTGGCACGCTGCAGCCAGCGCACCGCGCTGATCCAAAGCCAGGAGCCAGGTGCTTCTCCTGGTCTCCCATGGGGTGCAGGGCCCAAGCACTTGGGCCATCCTCCACTGCACTCCCAGGCCACAGCAGAGAGCTGGCCTGGAAGAGGGGCAACTGGGACAGAATCCAGCGCCCCGACTGGGACTAGAACCCAGTGTGCCAGCGCCACAGGTGGAGGATTAGCCTATTGAGCCGCGGTGCCGGCCTCCTCCTTATTAATCTGCAAGAACAGCACTGGGCCATGCACATGGACGCTGTCCCTTCCATAACCCACAGGGGCCAGGGGGCGTAACCCAGACTCTGGTTCCCGCCCCTCACCTTGGGTCTACACTGAGCATTTCCTCCTGCTGTCATGGACCACATGGTTGCAGCACCCGGGGAAGAAGCTGTTGGTCCCATGCAAGCGAAGCGAGTGGACCCCTGAGGTGCCTCTTCCTCCCCTGACACAGGGCTGCGAGGCACAGGGGAGGGCTCCAGCGACTGGGTCCCCGCCATCTGTCACCTGTGCTGGGGCCCTGGACTGAGCTTCCAGGTCCCCACCCCATGCCAGCTAGTGCAGGCATTTGGGGAGTGAACCAGAAGATGGGATCTATCTCCTTCTCTCTCTCTCTCTCTTAACTCAGTCTTTCAAGTAAATAAAATGATTTTTTTTTGACAGGCAGAGTTGGTGAGAGAGAGACAGAGAGAAAGGTCTTCCTTTTCTGTTGATTCACCCCCCAAATGGCTGCTACGGCCGGAGCGCTACACCAATCCGAAGCCAGGAGCCAGGTGCTTCCTCCTGGTCTCCCACGCGGGTGCAGGGCCCAAGGACCTGGGCCATCCTCCACTGCCCTCCCAGGCCACAGCAGAGAGCTGGACTGGAAGAGGAGCAACTGGGACAGAACTAGCGCCCCGACCGGGACTAAAACCCGGAGTACTGGCGCCACAGGCGGAGGATTAGCCTAGTGAGCCGCGGCGCCAGCCCAAAATGATCTTTTTTAAAAGAAGAAATGACAGGAAGTCATGTTAAACATGTTTCTCTAGTGAAGCTTTCATCATTTAAAAATAAACAGATAAGGAATAATTTAAAGTCAATTCATCAGAAGTATTAATATGCAAATGAGAATTAGAGCCTACCGAATGTCTTTTTTTTTTTTTCCCACCACTCAACAGCACCATGGTGGGCACGTGGCTGCCTGGCTGCCAGCACTCCATATCAGACTGCTGAGTTCAAGTTCCAGCTCCACTCTGTAACTCCAGCTTCCTGCTAATGTGCAGCCTGACACTGATATGTCCCTGCCACTCACGAGGGAGACCTGGCCCTAGCACTGGCCACTGTGGGCACTGGAGGAGTGAGTCAGCAGGTGGCTGGCTCGCTCGCTCTCGCTCTCTCTCTCTCCC